ACCGTGAAATTGTATATCACAGTTCATAGATTAGTCAAAATTATAATATGAGTATTTAAAGTTTTTTCACTGGCTTATAGTCAATTTGCAATTAATATATTATTAACTTCTACGACGATGAAAAGCTAAATCAAGTTGAAGCGTGAACAAATTATTACATAGGCTGTATCGAACCTTCTCTTATTTTTGGAAGCACTCTGTAAACCTGAATGTTTAAGTAGAAATGAAAAACTCATCATTTATTAAATATATATTTAAAATCATCAAAAACTTTTTATGCCTAATGGGCAGTTTGTAACTAACAATTTAGGGTAAAGTAAATGGAAGTACGGCACTCGATAGCTGGTCTATTTAAGAGCATGAAAACTGAAATCCAAACAGCAAACATTGAGATTATGAAGAGCACAGATATTCCCAAAGAGGAGCCCATCGAACGGCGCGATCTGTTCACCTTCATCGTGTCGGTAATGCGGACGGCTGCAATGTATACCTTGAGAACGGAGTATCAAAACAGTTATATGCATTTACTGACCACAGTGTTGAGCTGGAGCTATGAGATATTCACGTATTTCGTGTGCGTGCATATTGAGATATTATTCATGTGCTCTCTCTACATTTACTACGACGACGGCGATCTGGAATTCCTTGTCAACTGTCTTATACAGACGATCATCTATCTGTGGACCATCAGCATGAAGCTCTACTTCCGACGCTTCAGGCACAGTACGTTGAGCGACATCATCAGCACTGTCAACGATAAGCACCAATTACGCTCGGCGCACGGCTTTACGTATGTGACCGTTAGTGGAGCGCTGCGACAGTCCAATCTATGGATCAAGAGCTACGTCTACTGCTGCTTTATAGGCACTATTTTTTGGCTGGTGCTGCCCATAGCATACCGAGACAGGAGTCTCCCTTTGGGCTGTTGGTATCCTTTCGATTATAAGGTAAGCCTGAATATATAGCTAAGCACTGCGAGATCTGTTTCTAAATATCTTTTTCTTCTTATTTTCTTCAGCAACCTATTGTCTACGAGGTGGTGTTCTTCCTGCAGGCCGTTGGGCAGATTCAAGTGGCTGCTGCCTTTGCGTCGTCCAGTGGCTTTCACATGGTCTTGGGGATTCTAATATCAGGACAATACGATTTGTTGATCTGCAGTCTTAAAAATATATTGGCTACGAGCTATTTGAAGATGGGTGCCACTATCCCAGAATTAAGGTGATCAGCTTTAGAAATCCCTGTAGACGTATTCTCAGATGGTCCCATTCACAGTGAACTTCAGGCGGCACAATCTGTGGCGGATGCCGAAGTGAATCAATATAGCTATTCCGTAGAAATGCAAGCGTCGATGACAGAGCTGATGCAGCAGCAAGGTCCCAGCAATGCTATGGACTTACCCACTGCCTTCAGGCACTCCCTTAGCCGGTGCTTAGAACACCATCGGTATATCATTTGTGTCCTGGAGAAGATGGAACGCTTCTACAATCCCATTTGGTTATTTAAGATCGGCGAAGTCACGTTTCTCATGTGCCTGGTAGCTTTTGTTTCTACAAAGAGCACAACGGCGAATTCAATCATGCGGATGGTGTCGTTGGGCCAGTACCTGCTCCTAGTCCTGTACGAGCTTTTCATCATTTGCTACTTCGCTGATGTGGTCTACCAGAACAGTCAGCGATGCGGAGAAGCTCTCTGGCGAAGTCCTTGGCAGCTGCACATGCGCCAGCTGAGAAGTTATTATATTATTTTCCTGATCAATTCCCGTCGCCCGTTTCGGCTGACGGCTGGTAAAATCTACAATCTGAATGTGGACCGCTTTAGGAGTGTGAGAGACACAAAAATATATCACTATAATAGATACTCGAATCATGTTGCTTGCATTCCAGACAATTACAACGGCCTTCTCCTTCCTCACTCTACTGCAGAAGATGGATGCGCGTGGATAAAGAACGCAAACTTCGCTTTTATATTTTATTTCGTATATTACAATTGTTCAAATTAAAAAAAAAAAAAACTCGCATAAAAAGTAATACACTTAAGCTTTGAATGGCAAAGACATCGAGCACATGCCAATGCCTCAAACACAACACCAATTGATTTGTTTAATGTTATTGTTATTGTTTTGTGATTAATTCACGCTGGCTCACGATTGCGTGCGCCGTACAAACATATTATATGTTAAATAATAGTTAAAACGAACGTACAAATATTTAATTTGTTCGTTGTGGTTCTGATCTCGTCCGATCTCAATGTTGTAATAAATAATTTAATAGAAAATCATACAAAATTACAGTATTTGTTTAATAAATAACCGTTTCATTGTATTTTTGTTATGGCTTTAAGACTATAAGCAAAAATCATATACATTTATAAGGTACTTGGGTTTACTCTATCCGATATTTACGTTTCCTTGTCCAACCATTTCCTACTACTTTGTGTTAACTACAATGAGCAAGAAATATATTTAACAATTTAATTTGTTTCTTTTGTTTTTGTTGCAAAAATTATTCATTTTAAATTTGTGCCTGGCTTTCATTCTTACATTTAATTTATGCTTCATGTATAGTATCAAAAGTTGATGTAGTATCTCAACAGTTCAAGCAAATGATTTGCTTTGTTGATCTATTATAGCCAAATACTACAATTGCTTGATTTTTGTTGTAGGGTTTTTCTTTCTTTTTACAATGCTTAGAAATGTTTGAAATATTCGCTTATAATTAGTTAATAAACAGTTTCTATGTATCATCTTTTCTGATTTTGCAGTTCTACATGTTTTTTTTTTTTTTCATAAAAAATTTACATTTGTTTATTTGAATTTCAATTGTGAATTTCATCATTCAGTAGTGCTACTCAACACATCTGGTTATACAGACCATGCTTTGTAGCGACTGCTTAATTTTGTTAACATATATAATTATTATCAAAAAAATATATATTTATATATGATTCATTTTTATATTTTTAGGTTTTTCCATAAATTTTTGTTTTTGCTCAGAATTTTATATATTGCTATTGCAATTCAGCAACAACAGCAACGAGGCGAGCAGCCAGTAAAGAAAAAACAAAACAAGGCTATCAGCATTGTGCAAGTACTTCTGATAAATGCAATACGTTTGCTGTCGTTGTTTATGTTGTTGTTGTTGTTGTTGTTGTTCTTTGTGCATGAAATGAAAGCTCATTGTGCTGTTGCCTGAGTATTTGGCATTGTTGCTTTTGTTGTTGCTGTTAGCCGGTTGTTGATGCTGTTCACAAAGCTGGTTGCCGCTGCTGATACCTAAGATGACTAGTTTGGAGTTGGTGCATTGCTAGCTCGCAAGCGACATGTGAACGATACTCGTGCTGTTGTCGTGATTGTAGTGCTCCGTATTAACAATGACCTGCACCACATAGCCTTGGTGTATGCTGCACTCATCAATGGGCACCTTATCGCCCAGCAGCTTACCGCTGTAGAACCAACGTTGGCAACACGCGTCGACTCCCTCAACAGACTGCATGCATAACATCAATTCAAAGATTAGCAAATTGTCCTCATCAAAAATAAACAAATGAAAGCGCAAACTCACCTGCAGTTTTTTCTTGCATTGTCCCACCGTGTCCTTAGAGTATACCGGCAGTTTAACATCAGTCATTGAGGATGATATGCGCAGCTTAAGAATGATTTCGGTCCCTCCATCAACGGGCTCTGAGTATTCGGCTGGCGAATCACGCCCATTCTCCTCCTTTACAATGTTAATGGGATATGACAGACAGTAAATAGGTACTTTATATTGTGTTCCCAACTCGTCGTAGCATTCTGTGAGGTAGCTGCAAAAGAAGTATCCAATATCTTAGTAACTTCATTGATGACTAAATAAAATCATAAAATCAAATTCTTTGGTCACTGGTTGTGCCATGTTTCATTACCTGAGAAACACATATCCAAACAAAAATAAACCTCCATTTATAATATGCACTCAATTTTATGACTCTCAGATCTACTTTAGATTATTAACGGGAAGTTGCTGGATCACCCAAAGCGTCAATTTCAAACAAAACAATCAAAGTAAGAAGAATAGAAAATATTCTAGTCAATGCAATTACTATTGAATTATTAAACATCTGCTTCGAGCAAAATATTTAAGCGTAGAGAGATGGCAATTCTAGATTTTTGAACACTTTTGTTTTCCAAAGCCTTCCTCTTGTCAGCACGCGCAGAGTTCTCCGATATGCCGACATACATTGTAATTTAGACAATGTAATAAAAGTAAATATACTTTATTGTATTGATTTTTTGTGGGACGCGTCAAAAGCCATTAGTGTTTAGTGCATTCGGCGCGTCATTTAAGTACTTGACAGGGGATGTAGCTTATTTGATAAGAGCTCCGGGTTAAACTTACCCATTGGGCACAGATACGTTAGCGCCATCTAAAATTGCCTGTGCCATTTGAAAGTCAAGACATTCGGCTGCATTTGTGGCTGCTCGAAGGGCATCCCAAATCTCCTTTCGTCCGTCAAATGCAGGAGCCGTGTCCCAAAACTCGTCACGCTTGGAGCGCAGTTGTCCTTCGGTTAAAGGTACGTCGGAGCGCCATTTTATGGTCTCATGGCACAATGGGCGATTTTTACGCGCAGCGCCCCCCAATGCAATCCCTATATGGTACGCACAATAACAAAGAAATACATATCGATAATGGATGCAAATTGATGTGGCTGCGAAAAGGCTACTCACCTGCGCTGACCGGACGCGAAGCGCTTGCCGAGGAAACACTCATTGTTTCATTGTCGGGATTCATGCGACATACACAGGCTCCCATTGTTGCGGCCTTGGGTTAATACTCACATTAAATTGGGTAGTTTCGAATTGTGCGTTTATGATTTTTATAATTTTTACACGAGCAACAGCCGAACAACGCGACATACAATTTTTACGCAATGTGACCAGAGGCTTCGTTGAAAAGTTCCCGTAGTTCGATAAGACAAAAATAATGAACGAACTAGTTCATTGAAAAATATTTTATAGTCCCCAGTCACTTTGAATTTATACTCCCAAATTAAAAAAAATGTACTAAATAATATTATTTTTTTGGGGTTTTTTTACTTTAGTATTATCACTGGTATTATTTTCTTAAAGTTTGTCTAAATGGTTGTAGTTATTTAATTAATTAATAATTAATTGCATATAAATCATCAAATTCCCGCACAATAATTCGTAGCGCTGTTCAACACTGAATATGTACAGCTCGCGAGCGAAAGTAATTGGAAAGCAATTATATTTATTTAGGCACAAACCTCAATTTAATTAACAACAAAATTATCAAATATTCATTTACTTTGCGCCATTAAACTAGCTGAAGTCATAACCTCATGTGACGCTTGCCTCAAGCGCGGGGTTAGTTTCTTGCTTAGCTTATCAGCCGTCACATCATAAGGTTTCAGATAAGCTATGATCTCCAAGATTATGTATATGGTCGTAGTGACTATTGCATAGGTAAGGAAGGTTAAGAAAAACTGAAATACAATGACCAATAAGAGCTGAAATAATTACAATTATTGATTGCTGCTCTTGATATACTTAATAGATTTACATGAACTCACAATAAGAAACATCTTTATAACCAGAAGTATCAACTCTGTTGAAGTATACTCTGATAACATTTGTAGAGTTCCCGATGTGATCTTGGCACCCAAGCTTTGGTTGTTAGTTTCTTCGTCTGTACGACTATCATCATTTTCTGCTGTACTGTTGTTCACATTCAAGTTTTCCATATCTTTAGCTCTTGTCAAATCATTTTCGTTATGCAGTGGCAGAAAAAAATCGTAGTATAAGCTTCTCAACATAGAATCGGGGGCTGATTTTTTCTCTAGTGTTTTGGCTACTTCTGATTTAGTCGTTGTTGCTATTGGATCTTTTAAATGTTGGAAACAATTGTTAAAATCAATTAAGGATCGCTTAGTAGCAAAGTTGCATTCTTTTAATGCTTGTCTGCGTGGGTGCGAGGTATGTTTTATATTCGGTTCACTTGGAGTCGACATTGTATTCTGCAAAAAATTTAAAATAAAAAGGATTAAACAAGAAAAAATAATCCGCATGTATCCTCTGCGAACATATACAACTGTAGGCCCCGGCGAGATTCGAACTCACGATCTCCTGTTTACTAGACAGGCGCTTTAACCAACTAAGCCACGGCGCCGTTAGCGTACCAGGGAGAATTTTTCGTATTAAGACAAAGCATGGAACAGTGACGATAACGTGCGCTACTAATCAGCAAAGTTGGCTGCAGCTAAATGTTTGTTTTGTCTAGCGACAGGTGGCGCTTGTCTCTGCTTTGTGTTTTTTTACATAGATGGCGCTTGCCGTTTTCTTACTTACATAAGGCTGCAGGTCCAAAATGTTATTATCAAACTTTCCTTGCTTCAGTTGCTCTATTTCCTCATCCGTTATAAAATTGTTCATATCCATGCACTCATTGGCATAGAAATCGTATATTTTTCCCTCGCCAAAGCATGGCGGCACCGGCTCGCACTGCTCCGTGGTGCGATTGTAGAAGCTGCGCTTGCCGAAATATCGCTCCTCACAGTTGAGGGGGGTGCAGTTGCGCAGATAGTCCTTGTCCCAGTTCTTGCAGTCTATAAAGTCTTTACGCCGTCGCAGCGAGTGGTTGCCCGGGTCCAAGGTCTCAAATCGCGTATCAAAGTATAACGTTTGATTCGTCTTGAATACCTCATTCTGATGGTTGGCGGTGCTGATGACGATGGGGCAGCTGCCGACGCGATTGTAGAGCGACTATAATGGCATTTGTGATGATAATATATCGTATACTTAGGTATAATGTAACTAACTGACCACAGTAGGCCACACCAAGGAGACCGTGATGCTGCTGCCCGGCTCGATGGATCCGAAGTCGCCGCCGAAAATCGTGCCCGCTTGAAGCGTCTGCCCATTGGTCAAATTCAAGGTGCAGTCGCCATTTGAGTTCACCGTCAAATGGAGCAATTCGGACTTATTTTTCTTTCGATTGCTTATTGTCAGATCTGTTGGACTAATCAGTTTTTTAACTGGGTGCAATATTATTCTCCCCCACTGGCTTACCAAAGATGAGGCCTATATCGCTCTCTCGAGGCACGCGCATGATTACGCGCGTCACGGTGCAACTTGCATAAATGCTGGGAATATTTAGTGACAGGAAATACAGCAGCAGCTTTTGTAACATTTTCAGCCAGGCCTACGTTATGTAAAAACAAATGTTATGAGCCTTTGTTAAGAGTGCTTCAGGAAGGAGGCGTGGCAGACTTCGCTTTGCTTAGAAAAGCCCAAATGTCAGCTCTATAGAAATTCGAAACATATATCTGTCGTATGCTAGAATTTTTAATATGTTTTTACGTTTGATTATATTATATTTCATTTCTTTCTATGAGTTTCCATTTGGAAATGTAAATTTCCTGTATATTGATTTTGTATGTAAATACATTGGCTTATTGTTATT